TCTCTCTCTCTCTCTCTCTCTCTCTCTCTCTCTCTCTCTCTCTCTCTTTCTTTCTCTTTCTCTTCTCCTCACTCTCCCTCTCCATCTGGCTCTTGGGCTGGCTCATTGCTTGCTTCCTGCCATTTGATTGGGTGAGTTTCCTTGCTCTTTAACACGCTAATTTCCCACAGTGCACTGCTGCATTGCAGTGGTGAGGTGCCAGGCAAGCTCAGCTGCACTGTCCCTTCCACCACGAGATGCTTGATGGTTACAGAGATTGTGTGAAGTAACAGTATTATTTAGTGCTCGTTTAGCAATTAAGCCAGCTTCATTGTAGCTGCAGTGCTTTTGCTCTCGTCATAATTTCATTCCTGCAGCAATCACAGACAGTAAAACCCTCGATATAGTTCAAATTTACCAACAAGCACTGAAAATGTATTCTTGACATTGTGCATGTTGTTTTGATGGTACGATGTGGTACTATGGTACCTATGCCCACATTACAAATCACCATAGTATACAGCAGACGACCTGACAGATGTCTCCAATAGCAGATTACACACAGGCTGCAATAAATGACAAACTATCATCATCTTAACACACTGAAATTGTCTGTTTTACTATTTGCTGTTGATGTAATTTAATTTCTTCTTTGGTGGTATTAACCTGCTCTCCAGCTCACATTCCAATGCCCCTCTCTTCCCACTGTTGTCATGGAGACATCTATCGGTTGTCATGGTAATCCCTAGGCTGCTGGTGTGAGACGCTAATATCTCCCTTCCTTTCCTTCCTTGTACCCCCCCTCCTCCCTTCTGTAGTATTTGATGGACTAGGGGATGTAATGAAGCCCACTTTGACCCCTCAGGCGGGGGATGTTGACACCTCCATGGCCAACATGGCAAGTAGTAAGTAGTCATTTAGATGCTGATTTAAATACGCTTGTTATTTGTGAGGGTTGGATGAGAAGACTGATGCCACCCCAATGTCTGTCCGCTGGATAGGAATACTTTATGCTAAGTATAAAGACTGGAAACTTTGGGGAAACAGTTAGCCTGGTTCTTGTCAACAGTAATAAAGCAGCACATATATATAGCTCATTCATTAAAACATAATATGTTGTTTGTTTAATCCGTACAATAACCAAAGTGTAAAAATGACAGTTCACCCCGTTTTATGTCATGGTATCGGTCTTCTTATCAAAAAAGCTAGGAAGGGTATCTCTAACTATTGTGTTGATTCAACTTATTTTGTAACCCCTTTATTCATCCTGTGTGGTCGTTATAATGTCCTTAAATGAAGACAGTAAGTTTGCAGTACCTCTCTCTCTCTCTCTCTCTCAGATCTCACAATGGGAAACCCAGCGGCACCTCAGGTAGCTCCCCCCTGTTGGGGTGCTCCCATGGTAAATGTTGTCTGTGTCTTATAGCATGGAGTGGAGCCGCATGGCAGCGACAGACAGGGCATAGCAGCAATCACAAACATTGCCTTCATCTGGCTCTCCAGGTTCCAGGTCCAATCATATAGACCGAGGAAACTGAGAAGCTTACGGGGCAGTCAAGAAAAGGAAACAAGACTCATAGCAAACTATAAGTTACTGGTGGATTTCACCTCTAATAGAACACATGCACTGGTTGAAAATGGTCCAAACCAAAAACCAAATACTAAGCAGATTTCAACATGCTCAAGATATTTATTTTTCTGGAATATCTGCTGGAGAGTGATGAAGTGGCTAATTGTAGTGCCAAATTAGGAAGCTTCTTCTTCTCTTAAGTTTCTTTTAAGCCTGTTAAAGTCCAGGCAAGCCAACCGGTTCTCCCATTCATAGCTGAACCGCTTCATTGACACGTTTGCTTCTTCTGGATGTTTCAGTTGTCTCTTTTGGCAACAACAGAAATGTCCTAGTCATCTGAAGGCTACCAGCAAAAAAGCTTCGTCTCTGCTCTCTAAATCATTGTGCATGTGTAAATCAAGGACTATTATTAACTATTAGGTTAAATAAGGGCCCTTGTTGTGTTGTTCTTGTTGTGTGCCAGTTTTTTTTGTCCAAGTTTTGCGTGTCTCAACTATCATTGTCCTGTATTGCTAGACTTCTTTTACGCATTGTGTAATTTTTGTGTTTTGAATTTTGTGTTTGTGTATTGTTTTAGAGTGTGTGTGTGTGTGTGTGTCTGTCATATATGTAGTGTAGTAACATCCCAACACCTCCTCTCCCTCCCCTCCACACCTTTAGACCGTACCCATGGGTGTTCCTCCTTTTATGGGGACTCACCCCAGCTTCAGCATGGTAAGACCACCAGTCCAGTAATGGTCTCGTAATGCCCCCGAACCAGTCTGGACATTTATGGGCAATTCCCATTTTCGGTGGCCCTCACACCCAACATATGGCCGCCATTGTGTCTTACTGTCTCTTTTTCCTTTCGTCTTTCTCTGTGTAAGGCCGGGGCACCAGGAGCTCCCATGATGCCGATGGTGAGGCCAAGCTTCCCTGCCACCGGAGCAACCCCTGGACCACCGGTAACACGCTCACTCTGAAATGGATCATACACGCTCATGACAATTTCATACATAAAGGTTACAGCTGCTCTGACCAAAGGAGTTTAAGTGCTAAATTGTGTCTGCAGATGTCTCCCGGAGCGGCCCAGAGCCCCAGAAAGCCTCCACCACCGAGGAACGCTCTGGATGACCTCAACATTAAGGACTTCATGTAGACGGACTGACCTATAAATCCCCAAGGTATGCAGAAACAGAAAATAGAAAGCTGCAAACATAAGGAGCACTTGAAAGCAGTCGTATGATGTATTCTACTGCTCTGACGAGAGCTTTGTCAGGTCTGAGAGGATAACCTCTGATGGTATCATAGTGCTGTATCAGGGTAACATCAGTTAGGCCTTGGAGACTAGAAATTTATAAAAGGAAGCTGGTGTAAGAAACTGGAGGTGTGGAAACAGTAATTTACCAGGCTGGGAGGTTCCAATGAAAAGACACTGTTGGTTGCATTACAATACATATAGGATCCAGCTTGACCCGCACTACTGGGGTATCCCTCCCTCTGCTGCTTCAGTTTTGACCATTCCCTCTCTTTGCTAATCCCCCAACTTAATGGACGACAAGTTCTCACTCTCATCTCGTCAAACACAGATGCTTGGTCTGAGGCGGTAAGCCTCAAACTCTGATGCTAAGTACCCTCTAGCGTCAGTTTTGGACGTGTCAGTTTTCACTCGTTACATGAGTCTTTTCAAAATAAACCTCACGTTTCTGAATCTCCCTCTCTTTCTTCTCAGAGCATACATAATTTGACTTCACTTATTTTTATCAGGAGCATTTGTTTTAATCAGCTCTCGTTTTCTCTGCCTCCTCTGTAGATTTGTCATTGTGTCTGGAGCTCTGTGGATGTGGATGGCTGCACTTCCCCCACTGCCTTCCCCTCAGTCATGCCCCAGCCCCTTCAGCCAACCAGCCATTACATCTATACGATCTTTGCCCTCTGACCTCGTACCAACCGCGAACCCTAAAAAGAACCCCCTGCCCTCCTTATCTAATGTTGTAGCACAACTGTGAATGTGAACCCTAGTTACCGAGAAACAAATCTCTGTTTATGTGTGTGTGGGTGTGTGTAATTCAGTGTTAACCTTTACTTAATATACTATGAAAAAACTTACAAAAAAATAAATAAATGTGTATTTAGATTCATTCTGGTTTTTCGCATATCAGCTGACTTGGAATGGTGGATAAATGTTGGTTTCTTTGCGCATCTCCCAGACGAGGACTGTGTTGTTAAATGTGGACTGTGTTCAGTGTGTGTAACTTCACTGGCCAACCCCCACTCCCACTCCTCTACCCCTGTTGTCCAAACTAATACTGAGCTATGTTTATGTCATTAAAAACTTGGTTGTACCTATATCTGCTTGGCCATTCATCCCCCCACCTGTCTACTTTCAAGTTTTTAGAGAACAGTTCAAAATGTACCTGAAAACAACTTGCACTGTAAATCTGGACTTATCATCGAACACATCAAATTGTGTTCAGTTTAACCTTTTTTTTCTTCTTTTTTTTTAAGGATTGTATGAAACATGCAAATGTGTTCACATTGATTTATGCATTTTAGACTATTTCAAATGTTAGATTATACATATTTTCTTTAATCTTTATTTTGAGACACAACAAATGTATCATATATTTTTAGTTATGTCAAATCATATGGTTCAAAATAAGGCAAGTAGACAAAAAAAAAAAAATTCCCGCCTTCTTTGTATATACCTCTCAATCTGTAATCGGAGGCAGTATTGAATGGAAACGTTGCCCCTGTTGTGCCCTCAGCTGGTGTGGAGTGGTACTGCATCACAGCATGCAACACTGGTCAATCTAGGATGCATTCTAATACTCTCAGAGAGCTCCTTTCCTTGTCTCGGTCTCCACACAAGATGACTTAATGTTAGGGTGGAAATCAAAGGGACAAGGAGGCACTTGTGTATGTGATTGGGATGTGGCCTCTTTGAGTGACGCCGCAGCGGTCGGTACATTTGTTAATGTACTGCCACTGGAAGTCTTGAGGACTCTCACTGTAAAGCACTCAAGTATATGCTGGATGTTTTGTGTGTTGTTTATTTCCAAAAGTGACTGTATCTTAATCCATTGTGGCATTAACGAAGTGTTGAAAGAAAAATAAAGATGACTATGACACATAAAAAAACAAAAACAATGTGGATAAATAATGTTTGCTAAGTATTCAAATGAAGGCTGTGTTGTTTTTTTGGAGATTATGATGGACGGCATCGTTCTTTCTCCCTCATCCCCACCTGCATGTGAGTCCAAATGAGATGCAATAAAAGACAAATACACTGATCCAAACTACCCTCACGGCTCATCACTTATCTCTGTTCTGATTTTGAGGACTTGTTTGAGAATTCAACATTTTTATTTGTTATCAGCATGATTTATCACTTTTGACAGGAAAATGTGTTTGTGGCATAAACATTTCTGTTCGATAACAGACAAAATTACAATACAAAATTGTATTGTAATTACAATACATATATATGTTGTGTAGAGTTACTATTTCTTTAACATGTATAGTGAAATGAGGACCAGTATGTTTTAGTAATTTACCAACTTATTATAAAACGATAATGGTGCAACATAGGAGAAAAAAAACAGGGTGTGTCTTCTCCTTCACATAATTACAGTTTCAGTTATATAAGTTAGGTGTTTCAGAGACAGACAAACAAATGTGGCATTTAGAAAAGGTAACAGTGAATTTCTCTCACAAACTGAAGAACTTAACTAATTCAAACAAATTCAAATACTTTCTCATGTTCTTAGCCATTTTTGACTCATTCGTAAGGATTTCCTACAGCTTCTAAATTAACTGATAAATGGCAGAATAGGATCAAGATCCAGAACTAGGGACAAGTGCAGGATTCCTGGATTATAGATTTGCTTGACAAACTGTCACTGAGGTGTTAAGCTGGTGTCAGCTCAGCATTCCTGGGTCGGTATGTATAAAGCTGCTAAGAGTGAAATTTGTTAAAAGTTAGCATTTTTTTGTACAAAGCTTCTAAGTCCTATTTCATACTAAAATAAATTCAACTGATTAGTCAAAGTTGAGGACCACTCCTAAGACTCTTAAGTTTTATACACACAGGCCCAGATCTCTGAGTCTCTTTGCAATTGACAAAAGAATATTTTTCTAGATCCATCGCTTTGCAGTCAAACCTCTTTACAGAGATTTGGATCTCCATGGATCCAGTGACAGATCTGCGCATATTTGGGTGGCGTAATCCTCACTGCAACATTAAAATCCCTCTGCTCACCTCCCTTCCCCTCCACCCACTGATGGCCTGAAAACACCCCAATCACCCTCCGCTGCCACTTCCCCTTCCTGCCTTTCTCTCCCACTTCCTGTCTCAGACGAACGTAAACACCTGCACCTGTGGCACCCGGCTGAGCGTCACAGTGCTGGTACATCAAATCGTTAGACTGGTTTGCCACCGAACAAAACCGGTAAACCACCTTCTCATTTCCACGCCCGTCCAGCAGGCTTTTGTCAGAATCATAGCCTGAGAAGTGGATCCGTGCCAGAGGGGTGGCAGAGGGGGCCACTCCCAGCTCCATGTACTTTTGTTTAAGGGGTCGTTTCAGCTCCAGAATAGCGTAATCGTAGTCAGGGGACACTGAGCTTGTGGAGCTCTTGGTTTGGATCCATCCTTGAGGGATTCTGGTCTGTTTAACTAGTGTCCAACGGAAGACGGATTGCTTCCTGGGTTCAGCACTACGTCGCATACGACTGAGACTTTTTTGTTTCCCTGTTCGTCCTCCTCTCTCTAGGTCACCATGATCAGCTACATCCTCCTCACCCTCTTGTCTTCCCCTGCGCCTCCTGCCTTTGCCTCCCTGTCTGCCTGTCACCACATCTTCATCAAGACTATTGTGCTCCTCACCTTCCTCCGTTATCTGCTCCTTAACTTTCTCCCCCACTTCTTTCCTCCCACGCCTCCGCCGCCCTCCTCTCCTCCCACCCCTTCTCCTTCTCTTGGTCTTGAGCTGCAACATCCCTACTCTAAGGCCTCTGACACTCTCCAGGTAGTCCCTCCCATTATGGATGCAGTGTGCCGCTGTCAGCACATGTTTCTGGGATATTAGGACTCCAGAGCAGCCTGTGGAGAGGCGAACAGCGGTAGAGAAAGGATAGTTGGTGATGAAATGCAAATCAGAGATCACAAAGCGTCCATCTGCTCCAAAAACCTGTCGTTTCCTGCGGGTGCGAGCTAGTGAGTGGGCTGGTGTTCCCGCAGACGTCTTGTTAAAACCCTGCAAACTGATATCTGTATGAGTGCGAGTGCCGTTCTCATGCATTGTCTCATATCCCAGAATCCTCTCTTGCTCAGTCTGGTCCATAGGTGGTAGGCTGCTTTGACACTCTATTCCACAGAGTGTCTCTGTCCGACCTCTCTCCTCATCCTCCTCCTGGCCCCTGAACAAAGGCGTGTTTAGAGGCTGTGTGTGTGTGTCCAGCAGCACCGGGAGGCTCTGCCTGGTCCACCTGTGCACCTCGCTGTTCTCATCTTTACCAAAAACTTCGGAAACTGTCAGGGCTGCTGCACAGAGCAGCAGACACAGATAGTGATTGAATCCCATCCCCCTGAAAAGAAAGAGAAACCAAGATAGAAATAGCATGGATCAAAACCTTTTAACATGTTTTAATTTTGTTATCAGGTGAAGAGAAAAATTCTATGTCTGTTCCCACATCTCATACTAGTAGCGTTGATGTTGGTTTTAAAGCCAGAAGAGGGTGCACAAGCTCAATGTCTAAACAATACACCACTGAACAGCAAAGAGTTACTGGAGATATTTTACTTTGAATTAACATGAGGTGTCTGCAATTGAATTAGTGGAATATATAGCTCAAAATGCTGGTAATGCTATCGTTATTACAACATGCAACATCAATTCATTTCTGACATTAGTTGACTATTTTCTGGTATAAATAAAGTCAAGCGGTCTCATCTTATTCTATGAGCTTATTCAAAGAGATACACAGCTTAGAAAAGAAGTAAGCCTGTCAGAAACCCAAGATAATTAAGAAAAAAAGATACAGAGAAAACATGGCTTTTGTAAATAAGGAAAGATTTGACTTTAGTTTGAGAAGATTTGTCAAGCATGTTCCTACCTCCAAACAATAAAAAACACAACCCCAAAACTTCCAGTAAATGTCCTCTTTTGCATCAATAAAAAAACCTCTCCATACAAACAGCTCCCAGCTGACTGGCTTCCATCATTTAATGGGCTAAAAAAAACAACTGGAGCGTGAGGAGAAGCTTTGTGCAAGATCCTAGAAATCTACATCCCACTCTGATGCAGAATAAAGCAACGAGCAAACAGACAGAAAGGGGGAGTCAGCCAGGAGGAGCAAGCATGAATGAAGGTTTTGATCATGTGATGATACATTTTATACATTTTGGGTCAAAAGTGGAGCCATGTGGAGAGAATTTGGAGTATTTTTTGCAGATTCCGCAAATATTGTGATAACGTCGGAAATACACAAAGAACAGTGATGGTTAGAAGGAAATTAATTTAGATGTCAAGTTATTCACAGAGATTTACAGACAAAATGTTGTCTTTGAGAGTGTTTATCCGGTGCTTTTGCAGTCCAAAATATAAGTTTAGATTTATGTCAGGTGACATTTGCAGTGAGTCCAGACCCACACACACACACACACACACACTTCGCTACATCTCTCAGATCTGGGGGAACCTGCATATTGACGTCTGTTGGTTTATTTAAGTGTTTCTTTGCTTGGTGCAACAAGAGTTCATTCAGAGCAGTAAGTCCACCTTTCTCCTTGATTAGATGTTGCAACACCAACACACACATGCACTGACAGACACACACATACCAATCAAAAGCTTAATTATGAGGTTACCGTTATACTGACAGATGATGTTTTGCATAATAAGTGCATTCCACTCTGTGGATGACACCACAGATAATTTGTGGTTTAATGATGAAAATCAACTGTGTGTATTCGCTTTCCATGACAAGCTGGGAGGTATAACACATGCCCATCTCGTCAAAATTAAAACAGCCTGGTAGCAGGATTTAAACCTCTCACTATCGGACAACGTATGGGACTCTTTCCTTAAACTGATACATTCCAATGAAACGCCACTCACTGTCCTATGTCTCTCTATGGAACAAGCATGCAGTATTACTAAAATTGAGAGATGCTGCACCACTCACCCACGCTCAATGACTGAGGGACATGATGTCCGGTCGAAAGCTCGAAAAAGATTCGCTACTCAGTTTGTAACTCAAATGATGAATTCCAAAAGGTGTGGGGACCTTTCCTGAATTAGTTTAAGATTCTTTAAACAAACTAAAGACTTGTTTTTTCACTCTTTTTTGTCTCTTGTCATTCTGTAGATTATCAGTGATACAATCTGTATATGTTGGCAATGTCTGAACCCTCCCCCATCATCCTTTTTCTATGTATTTGTTAACTGAGTTTTACTTCCTCTCTTTTCTAAATATAAATCCCGACTTCGAACCTTTTTCCTGTCACTCCTGGGATGAAGTACCGTTTTATTCTATGTAATTCCGGCCTGAGGATGGGGCTAGAGGAGGTGAGGGATGAGTGGGGCTTGATTGTGTGATACGCTCCTATATCGTAGATTTGCTCTGTTAATTTAACATATCTGTTGTGTACTCTGCAAATTTCTTGTGTGTATATTTAGCTGACACTTTCAAAAATTAAATAAAGATATTCTTGAGAAAAATAATCACTTGTGTGCTGATTGCTCCTCAGCTAGATATGTGAAATACTGATTTGAATGAATCAGGCAAAGAGTCAAAAGATCAACTTGTAAATGAATCATGCACACACACGTCAATCAAAGGCTCAATTACTGTATTACTGGTTTCATACTGACAGATGGTGTTTGTGGAGAGCAGGATTAATTACAGTAAATCACCTGAAGGTTTATATTGCAAACAAACAACACAAGTTGAGATTCAAAGTTCATCGTTGGCCTTGGGAACAGCATTCTTACAGCTTTGGATCGTATCACATGATATTCATCAGTAGATGGAGTTTACTTGTTATTTTCTGAGGACTTTTAGAGCTTCTCAAATGTCAAACGAAGTCTTCTGTCAGCTGCTTTTTCTAGGGTCAAAAGAGAACTCTGACTCTCAAATTTAAAGCCAAAATAGACACAAAATCCTTTAAGTTCCAGGAAGTCTCATCATAGTATTGAAAAACCACCAAATATCAGTGATGCCAGTGACTTGATGATGATAAGAGAAACATGAGAGTCTTTTATTTTGTATTCACAAGATCTTATGCTGATATGCAGTTTGAGGATGTGGATCTCACATTTGTCACAGAGAACTGCAGATGATTTGTGGTTCAATGATGAATTTTGAGGTTAACCAATCCCTTCCCACAAATCAACTGTGCGCTGACTGCATCTGGTCCTCAGACAGAGCTGTAAAATAGATGTTTTGTTCAAATAAATCTGGCAGAGCTAATTTTGGTCATAATCACGAGACATATTTTTCTTCTACTTCATCATACACTTTTTTTTTGTGTGCGTTTACATGGCTGTTTGTGTTGTAAGACTGTCCACAAGCGTTATCTCGCACTATGAAATAATGTCATTGTTTCACTGATAATAGCATTATCTCTCTGAGCATCTTAGCTTTTCAGGGAGATTTCCAGTCGGATGAAACAACAGTTAATAAAAAGGCTAAATGTTTGTTTTGGAGCACATCCAGCAAGAGGAATTCGTCTTGCTGGATGTGGATTTTGTCTTGTAATGGTAATTTTTTACGTAGTATATATTTCTACTTACTTAGTATATATTTCTAGTCAGTATATTGTATTCATGCATAAGTAATTTTGCTCTGAACTTTGTTGAACTTCACCGTGTCTCTGTTGTGCAAAAGAAGAATTCTCCTTTTCATAAAGATAACTAACTGTGTTGTATGAGAATGTTCCACCGCCAAGGCCTTTGGGCCGCTTGTTTTGGTTGCTGGCCGTTTGTTTTTCATTGTTGTTTCTGTCAGTCTGAGACCAAAATGTCTGTAACATTGTCCATCGGCCCCCACCTTTGCTCATTCTGTATAAAGAAAGCTTGTTCACTTTGTTCTTGGTTCTTCCTCACTGAGACTGTACGCATTCTGTTGTGATGATTGAATCTTCTCTGCGCAAAGAATAAATACTTAAAAGACAACCTCTGGTTTTCGGTATTATTTATTTCAGCAGTAAAAGACTCACGCAAAGCGGGTTTAGGAATATTTTCCACCGCAGTCTCCAATGTTTAGCAACAGACAGACATATAGACAGATTAGAGGAAAGTTAAGTAAGGAGAGGGAGAGTGCGTTGTAAAAACTCATTTAGTCATTGATTTATTCTTCTTTCTTTTGTCTTGGACCATTGTAATGCAAACACATTTTCAGGCAGACTATTACAGCTCTTCTACAATTGCTTTTGTTTGTATATTATATACTTTGTCTCAAACAAACTGTGTTGATGCATTGTAACATGTCATTTTAAAGATACATATTACAATACATTACCAGTATTTAAAAAGAAAGATATGATGTATATATTATCTTGCTTAATGAAAAATGTGCTTTTGTACTTTCATAGCCAAAAGTTGTATTATCAGCAATAATACCGCACTGTAACAATACTCCAAGTATAAGTTCTGCTTTGAAAATGTTATGTAAAGGAAAATAATTGTACGGTAAATGTGAAGGTACAACAATCAGCTGGCTAACTTAGCTTAGCACAAAGACTGGAAACAGGGGGTTGCAGCTAGTTAGGCTAGTTAAAAACGTACTTATAAACACGTAGTATCTGTTTGTTTAAACTGTAGAAATACAAACCAGCATTTTATTGGGGGTTATGTCGGACTATTTCTTGGTCGGGACAACTTGCAGGCAACCAACGGAGATTCTATGAAGTTACAGGTACGAACAAGATCCAACGTGTTAATTAGTGCTGGTAGACAGATTTTATTCTCTTTGCTAGCTATTTCCTCCTGTCTTCATGCTAAGCTAAGCTAACCGGCATATCGTACAGGCATGAAAGTAGTATCAATCTTTCAAACTCTCTGCAAGAAAGCTACATAATTATTGGAATTAGTAGAGCAGAAGTATTATCAGCAAAATGCACTTAAAGTAGGAACATTTTTATAAGCCCGTCATTTGTTTTGTATGCAAATAACAGCTGTCAAATAATTGTAGTGAGGTAAAAGAGTTTGTTTGTTGTCCACTCTTCGTCTGACTGTGTGCTCATATTCCTTAATGTTATATGAACAGTGCCCCCCCCCGCACAGGAGCAGTATGTTTCCAAAGATAACTTCCAGAGAATTTCTGTTATTGTTCAATGTTTCACTTAATTTTCCATACAAATAATGTACAATAAAGCTGTTTGTTTTTCCAATGATGTGTCTCCTGATAGTTGGCTTCATCCATCACTGCATCTTTTTGTTCTGCTTTCCCTTACACTCTCTCCAGCCTTCACCTTTTGTGCTTTCTTTTCATTAATTTCCGGCGGGACTGGAACTGACACTTTGATATGTTTGGTGAACCAGGAGGTCCAGGGGGGTCTTCCCCCTGTGTGTGTGTGTGTGTGTGTGTGTGTGTGTGTGTGTGTGGCTGAGAAGAGGGGCTTGAACTCTGCCGGTCGTGCCCTCGGAGGCTGAGGAAACGCCACCATTTAGGTTCTCTCCTCAGGCTGTGTGGACAGCAGGCCGGGTCGACTCACAAGCCTTTTTGTGCTGATCTCTGTCTAGACACCACTGTTAATACAAAAACAAAACAAAAAAACAGTCCAACCAAAGGGTCAGGACTGCTGTGGGAGAGGCTTTGTGAATGTGCTGTTTGTGACTCAGTATTTCCCCCAGCTGCTCCTTTGGGGCCAGGCAGGGTATTCTCTGGCCGCTTCTCAACAAAGAAAGCGTCCCTTTCCCAGGCAAGGACGACTTCCCCTTGGAATTCTGTGTATGTACTGCTGCCAAGATGCTGGCTTACAATTTTCATCATCTGTAACACACACTTGAGGTCATAAGAGGGGGGCTATCTTGACCCTCAGCAGACAAAGGAAGAAATCATCTGAGACAGAATCAGTTTTAAGTGTATGTGCATGCTGACACGCTTGTGTAGCATTGTGATTATTTGTACATTTTACAAAAATAATTATTTCTCTGTCAATGCACTACTTACAGCATGGTGAAGAGATGCAGTTTGGTCATGTAGTCATCAAATATAAATGATGGCGTAATTATGGATATGCCTATAAATCACATCCAGTACGTTAAATTACTGTTTGAATTATAATTAGATTCCAGTCACTCAGATTGCA